CGTGCCGCGCCAACCCCCCATCCCAGCGCCGCGCCGCCCGAAGCCCCACCCTCCGAGCGCCAGGCTGCGGAAACAAAAACCCTCCAGCGCTGCCCCTACAAACCAAAAATAAATAAATAAATAAATAAATACCCGAGCGCCGCGCCGCCCCAAGGTGCCGCCCCAAGGACATGCTTGGTGGGCTGGTGCCTGGGGTCGGCCCTGGGCAGAGGGGATAAAAGTTATCACAATGAGGTGAGCCCTGTGCAGTGGTTGCCAAAATAGCACATGGGTGGTAGAGAGGCTTGTGTTCCTTGCTGGCCCATCTCAGCAGCCCCTCTCCAGGGCTGTGGTGTTAAAGCACATTACCGTATATGTCTTTGTTACATAAAATAATTCATTGTCACTTTATGGGGGTCCTATCTACTGTTCCGATGCCTGACAGTTCCTCTGTTTCCTCTAAACCACTGTAAATGCAATTTCACTCCAGTTTATTTCTGTATTTTGAATTCCTGTTTAAAAGCAGTGTTTCGGTTACTCCTGTTTTCCTTAGCAGGCCTTGGTTACATTGTGCAGATGGATGTCACTGTGCTGCTTAGTGTAAGGTCCTAACAATAAATAATCACAGAAAATAGTAACTGAGGCTAGTATTTAAGCAATCACATACTGTGTTCGTAGCAGAACATTTCCTTTGTTCTCATCAGGATTTTGTAATTTACAATTGTTATTTCACAATTTGTTCTTTTTATTTTTCCTCTAGCACAAGCTTATTCTTTATCACATACCTCATAGGAATCATAGACCTGTACGGCTGGAAGGGACCTCAAGAAGCCATCGAGTTCATCTCTCTGTGCTGTGGCAGATTCAGTAGAGACCACCCCTGACAGGTGTTTGTCTAACCTGCTTAGGTATTTTGGAAATCCTACAGGCATCTATTTGCATCTTGAGATGCCTAAACACTTTTGAAAATTTATCCTAAAGAATGTAGGCCCTATCTACAGAATGGGGGACTGTATCCTGGAAAGCAGTGTCCCTGGAAAGGATTTAGGGGTCCTAGTGGACAAGTGCAATGCTGGAGCAAAAAGGGCTAATGTGATCCTTGGATGTATAAAGAGGGCTGTAGGGAGTAGGAGTAGGAGTAGGGAGCTGAATGTACCTCTGCATATGACATTGGTGAGACTGATACTAGAATACTGTGTAGAGTTCAGGTATCAGAGCACAGTTCAGGAAATGGAAAATTACAAGAAGGTCATAGGAGCAGCAAGAAGGATAACATGGGAGAATTAACCCAGTGTCTTAGATGTCTATACACAAACGCAAGGAGTATAGAGAATGAACTGTAAGTATTAGTACATGAGCTAAATTATGACTTAATTGGCATCACAGAGACTTGGTGGGATAAATCTCATGATGGGATATTGGTATAGAGGGGTATAGCTTGTTCATGAAGGTTAGGCAGAGAAAAAAGGGATGAGGTGTTATGCTATACACCAAGAATATATTCACTTGTTCTGAGTTCTAGAAGGAGGTGAGAGGCACACCAGCTGAAAGTCTATGGGTGTAAGGACCGAGGGACTAGAATGTGAGTCTGTAGAGCCTTGGGCAGCTACTAATCCCACAATGCCACTGGAAGGCCCTGCAGAGGTACAGCCAGGGAACACTATGGAGAATAGGCACTGCTGGAAGCACCACCCACGAGACCTAGAGTGACAGTAGCCTGCAGCCCTCTGATTGGCTAAGTGCCCTTACTTAACCCAGGAGTTGCCCCAGGAAGATATCTGGGCAATCACACAGATCTTGGTTGGCTACTACTATGCTGCATCTCTTAATCAGTGATTCTAGCTTGACTTTGACCCTTACTCATGATCCTAACCTGGACTGTCTCTGTTCTCTGACTTGGCCTGACTCTGACCCTCACCCTTGTTTACAGAACCTGGCATTGTAATTTCCCTAACTCTGACCCAGTGACTCCCTTCCCTGGTGGGCAGACCTCAGCCCAACTGTGACTGCTAGGCAAAACTGCCCATGTCCTTGGCACTTACAATGGGTTAAGATAAAAGGGGGAAAAACAGAGGCTATGTCATGATATGGGTCTACTATAAACCCCCAAATCAGGATGTGGCATTTCCAGAACAAATAACAGAAATATCCAAAACACAAGACCTGGTAGTAACGGGAGACTTTAGCTACCCAGACATTTGTTGGAAAAGCAATACAGTATGGCAAAATACAAAAGGTTCCAATGAGTTTTTGGAATGTATTAGGGACCACCTTTTGTTTCAGAGGTGGAGGAAGTAACCGGGGGAAGTAGCCATTTTAGACGTGATTCTGACTAATGGGGTCAAAGGAATTGGTTGTGAATCTGATGGTTGAAGGCAATTTGAGTGAAAGTGACCATGAAATGATAGATTTCATGATTCTAAAGAAAGGAAAGAGTGAGAGTAGCAGAATAAGGAAAATGGACTTTGAAAGCCGACTTTAACAAATGCAGAGAACTGGCAGCTAAGGTCCCATGGGAAGAAAATCTACAGGAAAAAGGAGTCCAGGAGAGCTGGCAGTTTGTCAAAGAGACACTACTAAAGGTGCAACAGCAAGCTATCCAGATGCAAAGAAAAGATTGGAAGAACAGTAAGAGGCTCCATTAGGAGCTTTTTAATGACCTGAAAATCAAAAGGGAATCCTAGAAAAAGTGGTAACATGGACAAGTTGCTAAGAATGAGTACAGGAGACTAGCACAAGCACGTAGGTATAAAATGAAAAAGGCTAAGTCAGAAATTTAGCTACACCTAGCTAGGGACAAAAAAAAGGCAAGAAGAAGAAGTTCTATAAATATGTTAGGACTCAGAGCAAGAAAAGAGGTGAAGGAAAGTGTAGGCCCTCCACTTAGCAAAGAAGGAGAGCTAATAACTGACAACCTCCAGAAGGCAGAGTGTCAGGAATCAGGGCCTGCAGCAGAGACAGTCTCTGGGAAACCTAATGAGCACAACTGGCCTGTATTAGGCTGCTTGACTGGCTACACCACCTGATTGGTTGGAAGAGTCAGCAGACCAGCTCTTAAGCCCAGCAGCAGCTTAATGGCTGCTTAAAGCATCACCCATGGCTGTGATAGTGCCTGCATCTGTTTGTCCCAGCCCTGCTCCTCATTTTGCCTCATTCCAGCTAACCCAATTCTGACCCCTTGACTCAGATTCCTGATCTTTGACATTAGCTCTGACCCCTGGCTCTGGTATCAAGTCTCTGACTCCTGCTGTGACCACTAGGCATGATTGCCCATGTCCCAGTCACTGACACTGAGGTGTTTAATGCCTATTTTGCTTCAATCTTCACTAAAAAGATTTGTTGTGACCAGATATTCAACACAATATTAACAGCAAGGGGGAAGGAATGCCAGCCAAAATAGGGAAAGAACAGGCTAAAGAATATTTAGATAAGTTAGATGTATTCAAGTTGGTGGAGCCTGATGAAATTCACCTGCGGGCACTTAAGGAACTGGCTGAAGCAATCTCAGAACTGTTAATGATTGTCTCTGAGAACTCATGGAGGAGGGATGAGGAGACTGGAGAAGGGCAAACATTGAACCTATCTTTAAAAAGGGGAACAAAAGGGACCCAGGGAATTATAGATCAGTCAGCCTAACTTCAGTACCTGGAAGGATGCTGGAACAAATTATTAGAGAGCTCCCCTAAGAGGAGGGGGAGACCCCAGTTCAAGTCCTTTCTCTCCTGCACACAGAGGGGACTTGAAACTGGGTATCTCTTCATATTGCAGGTGAGTGCTCTAATCACTGGCTGGCACCTCCTCCTCTGGACAGATTTTGAATGGGACCTGATCTGCTGGTCCGCATCTGAACAGACCTGCTGAATTGGGCCCTGAAGGCAAGATAAACGGAGGAACACCTATTTTCCCTAGATTCAGGGTCATGCTAGGGATCGGGCAGGAGACAGGTGTGTGGGTGCCTAGTGGGGGGCAGC